CTACCTGGCAGAGGCAGCATCTGAATGTAGAACCTATGGACCACTATTTATCTAGTGATTCTAGTCTGTTGGATGCTCATGTCACACCAGCTCTGAGCTAAGCCCTTGAATTATCCCATGTAATCTTCTCAACTGTCTGATGGGGAGGGATCGTAAACGGGGAAAGTGAGACTCAACCGCCAGGCTTTAAGAGATGGCTAGAGGTTTGCGATGTAGATAAGAAACAAAGAGTGATCCAAGCAGAGGTAACAGCCTGGGTGAAGGCACAGAGGCAGGAGATGAATCCTCAGCATCTCTCTGTCCACACCGTCTCCCACCCCTACGGCTCAGCACAGGGCATGGCACAAAGTAGGCCTTAATCCATGTGCTGGATGTGGACATCCTACAGTCCTGGCCCCAGGCCTGGCAGAAGCCCCGGCAACCAGCCCTTGCCTGGCCTCACTTGAACCACAGGGGCCACGGGGACGGCCAGCATGGGGCCCCTCGCTATCTCCATGCCCAGCGTTTCAAAAACAAAATTGCTCACCCCTAAGAACCACTGTCAGTATTGGTAAACTCCAGCTGCTAAACCACATTACACTGAACTCGCCAGAAACCTTTGTCATTATTAATAGTTTATTGATCACAGTCCGTGGCTGATGAGAGTAGGTCTCCTCACCCCAGGCCCTTCGGGGCCCTGCGATCTGCAGAAGGCCTTCTAGCCAGCATGCAGATCAATGCCACTCCAATCTGGAGAAAGGGGGACTCGGGGCCACTTAATCCACTTTAGAAGGATAACTCTAAAGGCTCAAGATCAGATGAGGTGCTGAGAAGAGGCGGATTGGTCCAAATCAAAGCTGTGACTGGAAGATGTTGGATCTTCAGGCAGAACTAGAAGCTGCCTTGGGTGGGGAGGGGCTGCACAGTTTGCTGCAGAGGGAGACAGGGTTCTCTACCCTCGTACCACAGCCGCCGGGAAGGTCTCGCCATCCACCCATTTAATAAATATTGATGGAGTACTTGCCATGATGGCAAACACTATGCAAGACCCTGGGATACACTGGTAAGCCAGCCAGCTGCAGACCCTGCCTCCATGGATCTTACTGTGTATGGTGAGGGGAGGAGGACGTTCACGAGTCAGACTTTGTCATTAAATTGCAATTCAGACAAGTACTGCAAGGAGAGGCACATGGAGACCTGCTGTATCAGTTAGCTATTGCTGCATAACAAGCCATCCCAAACCTAAATAGTTTAAAGCAGCAACCGCATATTATCACCCTCAAGGCTAGGGGTTGGCTAGGCTCACTCCCAAGTTTGGCCTTGGCTGAACCAGCTGGGACCTCCTGTTGCTGAAAAACCAGCCCAATAGCCAAATTGGGACTTGGAAGCAGAGTTTGGGGAAAATAAGAAAAGAATAGCCTTATTGCTTTGCTAGGCAAAAGGAAGTCTAGCAGGCTAATGCCTTAGAGACTGCGAATCCATCTTGAGGTTAGTGTCCTGAGGTTTTATAGAAAAACCAGATGAAACAGAAGGCAGCAACAATCAGGGCATTTTCTGGGTGCTGTATTCTTCTTAGTCTTGGTGAATCCACCTTGTGGCACAGAGAAACTCTGGAGGAAGGTCTGTTCATTCTTCTGAGGTTGTCTGCCCATGACCACCTTTCTAGAATACAGCTTCTGGGTTAAAGTGTAAGCTATTCAGGGTAAAGAATGTATAGAGAGCGGAGAGTGTCGCGGGAAGGCTGGGGGCTGTTTGGCACAAAAGCAGTTGAGCAAGTGAAGCAGAGATGAGGGTTTGTCAGAAAGAAAAACAAGTTGCAAGAACTTTAAGTCAGGATGAATCAGCAAACAAACAGCTTTAGCATCAGGGGGGCCATTTGGTTAGTTTCTGACCCTTTCTCTCCTTCCACGTGCTCTGAGACTCGATCAGAGGCTTGTACTCAGGGCAGAGGCAGAGAGAGAGATTCCTTTGAGACTTACGCTTGGAATTTGGACACCATTACTTCCACCACGTACTTATCAAAGTAAGTGATAAGGCCAAGAACGGGGAAATTGACTCCACCTCTTCCCTGAGAGGAACTATAAAGGCACTTTGCAAGATATAGGGAGGCTCTTAATCCAGGCCATCAATGCGAAGCCTCCTAGTCCAGGGGGTCACTTTCCAAGTGACCTTTGTAACTCTAAGGATGTAGCCAGGAGAATAAAATGCAGCATTCTCAGGAAAACAAACTATTGTGAGCCAAAGTGCTGAGTCAGAAAAGAAACTTGGCTACATGCACCCATGAGTGTCACCTATGGGGGATCCTGGATGGGATTCGGGAACAGATAAAGGACATTAGTCGGAAAAACAGGTGAAATTCGGGTAAAGTCTGGAGTTGAGTTCATAGTGATGTGTTAATGTCGGTCCTTAGTCTGACAACTGTACTGTGGTCATGGAAGAGTTAACAGTGGGGGACACTGGGTAAGGCGGTTTGGGAGCTCTAGACCCTGTGAAACTTCTGTAAATCCAAAATAATTTCGAAATTTAAAGTGTGTTTTTACAAAAGGCCCTTGGCACACGGGAGGAACAGAAAGAACTCCACTGGAGCTGGAAGACCTGAGATGTGTCAGGAACCAACTGGGCTGAGCCTTGTTCGCCTAGATAAGGATCCTGGTCTTAATTTTAAGAGCAGAGAGAAGCCTTTGAAGGGATTAGGTAGGAGAGTGTCACTAATTCCATTTGCATTTGAAGAGATCTGAGTTCTACCTGGAGAAGGATCTGGAGGGAGATTAGCTGGGGCAGAGAGACTGGCTAACGACTCCGCCCGTTTTCCAGGTGAGAAAAGGTGCTGGCAGCGGAGATGCAGGGGAGAGGATAGTTCAGGATATATTTAAGATGTAGAGCACCCAGGACTTGGTCACTCACTGTGTTTGGGGAGTAGAGAAACAGGAGAGATCAAGGAAGGTGCCCAAAGTGTGACACGGAACCATGGTGGAGGGCAGGACCATTTGTGGAGCCAAGGATCTAGCAGAAGAAACATCCCAGGCTGCAGAAATATTCCTAAGTGAGAAGCTGCATCCTTCTAAAGCCCCAGTCCAGATGTCCCCTGAACTGTCCTTTGGACCACCTGTACTGTATCCCCTCCATGTGTCACCCAAACATATTGCTTATGTTACTGTCACCTGAACATGAGCGTAGTGATTGCCTCAACACGTCACCTGTGTCGCTATCACAGAAACACATCTTCTGTGTAGATCACCTGTGTGGCGGTTACCTGCACGTTTCCACCTGTGTCAACCATGTTGTTATTATCTTATCACATCACCTGGGTAGCTGCCAGCTCCACGTGTCCCCAGAGCCTGCTTCTTTACAGAGGTGTCACCTGAGGATGTCACCTGCACACCTGTCACCTACACAAGCCATTTAAGCAGGTTGCCTCTAGAACAGACACCTATGAGTGTCACCTAAACATGTCACTTTAGGTGACTGTTACTCAGCAACCCTGCCCAGGAGAGAGGCTATTTTTTCAGTCTAGCTGAGTTACAAACAAAGAAAATATTTCCCAGAGGGGAGACAGTCCCCTGCTGTTTCTGCTGTCAACGCGCTCTGTCTACCGAGATAGAGACGGGAGGCAGCATCTTACCCACGAAGTTTCCCTGATGCAAAGCTCCCTACTCTTCAAGTCCTCGCAAGACAGTCAGTAGACCAGATGTCAAGGTCCCACCCCGTGTATTCTATGGAAATGAAGGTGTTTGTTTATGCTAATGTGGGCTGGCTGGTGGGAGGGAAGGAGGAGCTGTTAGGTGGGCCGCCTTTTCTCAGGGAAAACAGAGGATGGGAAGGGGGCCAGGAGCCCAGGTGTGTGTGGGGGGTAGGGATGGGGGGAATGGGGGAGTGGGGGACAGTGAGTCATAGGAAGAAGGAGCTGGAAGACAAAGATGGGGGTTGGGGACAGTGAAATGAGAGGAGAAAGCAGTGGAACTGAGGTTGGATTGCTCAGCAGAAACAGATGGGAGAGAGAGACTTCGCTGAGCAGAGGGAGATGTGCTGATGAGGGGGTGGGAAAGAAGATCAGAATTTAAAGAACCTCCCCTCTCAGCGGCAGGGCTGGGACACACACCCCAAGGCGTGGTCTTAATTAACCCCATTTCCCCACTGGGTCTCCAAGACTGCGGCCAGGCCAGTTTGATGGGGAGAGCACTGAGCTTGGGCATTCACTAGGGTTCTATGAATATAAACTTTTCTCCTTGTTTTCTGCTGCGGCTTGAGAACTTCCAAGACTCCACTTTCTTTAAGTTGTGGTCAGAATGGTCTCCCCTTCGGCTGCATGGTTAAGCCCAGAGAAGGCTGGAACTTGCCGCAGGTCACACGGATTTCCCTGATGCAGGAGCAGCAGAGCTTTTTAACTGCAGGTCAAGGCTCTTCCCCTTCCAAGTGTCCAGATCTCACTTGCTAGGAATCCCCTCCCTTACAAGGCATCACAGGACGCAGGAACAACTGGTAACCGTCCATCACGCTTTTGCATGTGACGATCCTCCTTACAGGGGCTTTGCGGTACCATCGTCGCATTTAATCCTGACCGCAGTCCTGCGAAGCATCAGCCCTATATTTTAGATAAGAAATGGAGGCCCAGAGAGAGACGGCATGGCTTATACAAGGTCACACAGCGTATCAACAGCAGGGCTAGGATTTGAACTCGGCTCTCTCTGACTCGATGTCATTTCCATGGGGAGAGGAAGAGAGAACAACAAATCATCTCACTTCAGCGTGGTCTGACCCTGTAGACCCTGCAGAAAGTTCCGAGAGGAGCACCGATTTAACTCCAGCTAAACACACAGCCCACACTTTCATCCTCCGAGGCGCCGAGCCAGGGCCTGGCATACAGTTGGTGTTCTATAAATGTTGCTCCTCTGCCCAGCACCGCACGTGGAGCGTTGTGGACAGAAAGCTGAATGGTGGGGCTTTGAGGCTGGTTTCCTGCAGCGCTGTGCCCTCTGGCCCCAGATGATGAGCCCTCATCCTGCTCCCCTGCCTCCCCTCAGGCTGCCCGAGGTCCGCATCTCCGACAACGGTCCCTACGAGTGCCACGTGGGCATCTATGACCGCGCCACGAGGGAGAAAGTGGTCCTGGCATCAGGCAACATCTTCCTGAACGTCATGGGTGAGTGCGGGGCCCTGGGCACTGGTGTCACTGTGTGTGCGTGCATGCATATCCGCGTACACAGAGGGAATGTCCTGGGAACCACCCGCCGAGATGCCTGCTGGACTGAGAGTGGACCCTCTTCTTTCCCACACTTGCCCCCGAGGGTCAGGAGGCGGGTCGGGCCAACTGACACTATTTGCATGTGTGTGACCTGTGTGGCCTTGCCACTAAGGATGTCCTCTCCAGACCCCTCCCCCTACTGACACAGACACCCTGACTTCATGAAGGCAGGGCTGTACCTCATCCCTGGAGCCTCAGGACCAGGCACTTTGAAGGGGCTCCAACACGTTGAGTGGAATGAATGGGGCACTGAAGGGGCACTGAGACTTCCCAAGGGGCAGCAGCCTGCCGCAGCCTCTGCGCCTCAGTTTTCCCTTCTGTAAGATGGGGGTGGGATGCAGGCCTAGTGGATCATTCATGGACCTCCGAGCTCTAGGCTCTGTGACCTGGTGAGGTCACGAAGAGGGAGATACTGAGCTGTGTGGGCACCTTTCCCAGGCAGAAGCCAGAAGCCACATTCCTAGAAATACCTATGGCAAAGTGCAGTGGGGGTGGGCACTCCCCCGGGGGGGGAGGACAATCCAGGAGCCTCCAAGGGGGTTGAGACAGCACCTCAGTGGTCCTGCACATCTACTGCAGAGAGAATGTCCCTTCCCTCTGCCTCCCAAGGCCTTTTCTGAGACGCTGAAGCATCAGACGACAAGTTAGAAAGTGTGCTGGACTGGATGTCAGGGTTCCTGGGTTCCGACCGTGTGTCTAGGCCTCCATTTCTACATCTGTAAAATGGGGGTAATAATACTAGTGCCTGTCTCCAGTTGGCTGTGTCCCGCACCCAGCCCCGGTTTCCCCATTTATAAAACAAAGATTTCCTCTAAGGGTCTCAGAAGCCCCTGCCAGCACTGATGGCCTTGCCACTCTTGGAACTTGCTTTGGCTCCGGGTTCTGTGTTCCCTGATTTTCTTATCAAATAATATTTATCAGGGAAACAAAGTTTACTGTACTCAGGCAATCAGTGAAGACATAGAGGCCCCGTAGAAAGTCACTGCTTCTGGGGAAACTGAAAACCTCTAAAGGCCAGACCTCCAGAGGGACAATGATTCCTGCAGTTGCAGCATGCAGTGTGTCTTGGCACCCCGGGAGATGGGCCCGGGCCCGGAGGTGGCTATGTTGGGAAAACCTCCCCTCTTGCAGCCTTTTGCCCACTGAACGGCTCCTGTAATGCGTGGATAAGGCGTGTTCTCCGTGCCCGGCCCTGGGCTGGTCTCACCAGGGAACCTGGCACTGAATGAACCAGTTTGCTCCATCAAGGGGCTCCCAGTCCAATGAGAGACATGTCCTTGATTGTTTATTCATCATATATCAACTGAGCACCTATTATGTGCCAGGTAATATTCTGAGCCCTGGCTCCATCAATGGTCTCTCTCACACAAATAGTAATTGTGCCAATTGAGAATCAAGCACAATTAGAAAGTTTAAAAATTGTCCCCCACTCCCTCCCACCAACCTCCAGGACTCTCTCCTTTAAATACATTCCAAAGGAGGTTTCAAAACTTAAAGTCTATTCATTGTTTTGGCCTGTCTATGGCACTGCATAGACCCTTTCTTGTCACATACAGGCACACAGAGACCCTCCCTCCAGGCAAGTGGAAGTCACTGAAAGCTGGGGTCTCCTTTGTGCCACAAGAGACCCTGAGGAACGTGGCAGCCAACAGCGGGGCAAGGCAGCCTCTGTCCCATTTGAGGGTCAACGGGAAGCTTCCCAGGACAGTGGGGAGAGGGGTGTCTGAGGAGCTGGGCAGCGCCCAGGCCCCCACGTGCATCAAAAGCACACAGCAGGTCCAGGGAGGGCCGGGCACCCCCGCCTGCCAGCACCAAGCCTGCACCCGCGCCTTCTAACGCGCAGTTTCCCGAGGCCTCCGGGTGGAGATCAAAATGCAAGAGCAGCTGTAATTTCACGCCTGTAACATCCCTGCTATGTGGTGGGGAAAGACATTTGGGAGCCCCGTGGGTGCCACCGAGGGTTCGTGCCTCACACAGTCATTAAAATGTTTTTATCCGAGCTGCAGATAAATTGTAAGCCAATTTGAAAGTTGCGTGCTGGGCCCCGGGAACGCGTTATACACAGTCACGGAAGGATCGCGGAGGCTTTTCTTGCGGGTGCTGGTGATGCGCGAGCGTGTTCAGGCTGCGATGTTACAATCAATTAAACGTGAGGCCCAGATACCCCCATCGTGGAAGCCAAAAGAGGCTGTTCTGATTCTGCCAGAAGACCAAGGCACAGGGTTTCTCGGCCACCCTCGCCCTGCAGCGCGGCCACCAAGGGCGTCTTCCAGTCAAGGCTGCTTTCCATCCAGCTCGGGCTATGCGCCCAGCACCGTGTGCTGAGTATTCAACCCACAGTTAATCCTGTGACCCTCGTGAGAGCCTCCCGAGGTATGCGTTGTCATCCCCGTTTGACAGATGAGGAAACGGAGGCTCTGAGGGTTTAAGGGGCTCACCCATGTGAGTTACAGAGCTGAGGGGTCCCACCGGTTCTGCCTGAGACCCAAGCTGGTGCTCCTAACAGCAGCTCTGAACTCCCAAGGGAAACGTCCCAACCTCTGGTACAACAGCTGTTAGTCACGCAGATGTCAAGCGGGCATGAGGGCGGGGTGGCGGAGTACAAATGGAGGGAGCTGCGACTGAGCCCTAAGGAGGAGCACTTGACTCTCAAAAATTTAGGCGGCCAGTGGGACTGTTGTGCCTTTGCGGGGGGTAGGAGGTGCCTATAAGATTCTTGGGAGGGAGGAACACATCCACCTGGTCTCCCCACTTCTCCATCGCTGTGCCCCAGTGCCCGTGAGTGGTTCTCCTATCCTCTGCTACCCAGGGCCCCCTCACTACTCAAAACCTCTGAACAGAGCACTGGACTTGGAGTCCAGCCGACCTGAGTCCAAATCCAGGTTAGCGTCCACTTGTGATGTGGACAATCCAGCATTGAATTTCCTTTCAGGTAAAAACAATATCAGAATGTCTTTTTTTAAAATTGAAATACATTAGAATGTGACTTGGCTGTCTATATGCATGGGCATTCTAAATCTCATTCATTCATTCATTCTTTTTTTTTTAATTGAAGTATAGTCAGTTGACAATGTTGTGTCAATTTCCGGTGTACAGCATGCTGTTTCAGTCACACATATACATACATATATTCCTCTTCATATTCTTTTTCATCACAAGTTACTACAAGATAATTGAGTATAGTTCCCTGTGCTGTACAGAAGCAGCTTGTCATATATTTTATATACAGCAATGTGTATCTGCAAATCTCGAACTCCCAGTTTATCCCTTTCCACCATTCATTCTTCATTCGTTTATTTACCAAGTATTTATTGTCATATGCGTGGGAACTCAGCCTCAGCAATTGGACAGATGAAATTCCAAGTCCTCGTGGAATGGACAGTGCAGGAAGGGAGACAGGCAGGAGCAAGGAGACAGCGAGGACCTGTGTTATGTCAGGGGGCAGTCAAGCAAAGCAGAGGGATGTAGGGCTGTTGGAAACAGCGGGCAGCAAGGCCTCTCCAAGAAGGTGACAATCCAAGAAGGTGGGGCCCGAACTGTGTGGATGTCATGCCTTCATACAACTGATTCATCAACGGCTTATTCAGCATCTCCCCGGAGCCAAGCACAGTTCTAGGTGCTGAGGACGTGTCCCATCAAGGGAGACAGCTCACGGTGCCCATGCAGAAGCAAAGCCTGGGGTCTATGCTCAATCTTCAGGGTGGCCCATAACAAATGATCACAAACTTGGGTGGCTTAAAGCAACAGGAAGATACTCTGTCACCATTCTGGAGGCTGCAAGTCCAAAGTCAAGGTGTTGGCAGGGCTAGACCCCACGTAAAAGCTCTAGGGAAGAATTCCAGCTTCTGTTGGTTGCCAGCCATCTCCGGCTTTCCTTGGCTGGTAGGCACATCCCTCGCACCTCTGCCTCCGTCCTCGTGTGGCGTTCTCCATCTGTGGGTCTGTGTCTCTGTGTCCTGATTTCCCTCTTCTTGTAAGGACACAAGACCCTGATCCAGTGTGACCTCATTTTAACTCAGTTACATCTGCCAAAACCCTATTTCCAAATAAGGTCCCATCCATAGGTACTGGGGGACATCAACATAGCTTTTCTGGGGACACAATTCAACCCATGTAACTGAGCCGGGAGGTAGCAGAGCAAGATTCACTGTCTGACTCCAAAGCCCACGCTCTCGGCTCCCGACCACGTGAGTCACCGTTCCTTGTGCGCTCACTCCTGGGCCAGGCCCTGTGCTGCGCTTTTCATAAGTTATCTTACTGAGCCGTCCTCAGAGCTCTGGAAGGCGGGTACTGCCACTTCCCTTTTGACAGATGGAGACGCTGATAGGTTACACCCCTCACCCTGACCACCCAGCCAGCTAGGGGGAGAGCAGGGAGAAACGCATCCTATGTGCTTAACCACGCTGCTCTCCTAGAAGTCACAGAGTATTGATAAGCATGAATAAAATGGTCTGTCTCGGGATCCCTGTGTCTCTTCTGAAGGCTTCCAAGTGAGGCTGGCGGATAAAGGTAGAATTATGCAACTTGAGGCCACAATGGCACCAAAATACACTATATGCTTTCCAAACCTGGGGCCGGGGGCACACAGCTCCCACCGCGGAGAACAGTTATTAATGAACTTTGCATAGCTTGTCTCTCTCTTTTTTTCCCCACTATATTTTACTGAATTTGTATTAAGTGCCTCTGGTACTTTTATTCCCTGGTGGTTTTTTTTTTTATTTTTTTGAGATATAATT